GCACAGCTGCACCAGATTTTGCACTCCAGGTATAGTAAATCAACTCCAAAGTGTCACTGGGAACATAGCGACCTGGCATGCCATGACTTGTCCCACCATTTTTTTTTTTGCAAAGTTCATCTTTGCTTTCTTTTTCTTAAAGGGGCCCTTGTACCAGCACCTGGCTACATCGTGTTTTAGCAATAACTTAAGTAAGTCAGAGTGTAGCATTCTGGGAGGCGCTACATACCGAGCGCAAAGTTCAGGGGTGTGCTTTGAACAGAGTGCAGAGTTCAGGGATGCGCTGTGTACAGAGTGCAGGGTTTAGGTGTGTGCTATGCACAGTGTGCGGGGTTCAGCTCACGTTCACAGGCTGCCCACCTCTCATTTCCACCCCTCTTCCTCTGCTCTGACCTCTGCATCATTAAAACCTGGGCATGTAAAATCTGGTGCAGATCTGCATAGAAACCATTCAGCTTCCAGGTTTTATTGTGAAAGCTGAACAAGCTGAAGTTAGAAGCTAATTGGTTATCATGCACTGCTGCACCAGATTCTATTTGCTCTAGTTTTAGTAAATCTCCCCTTGGCGCCCAAATCAGTATAAACAGCAATAAAATCCCCCGAAGCTCAGCAGTGAGCAATAACAAAGCTTGATTTACTAATGTTAGCTGTGTAAAGTCATGCTAAAAACTTGAGTTTTTCAGCGTTTTTGTATTAGCGTTTAGCCACGTTTTTTTGTTTGCATTTTTTAGTCCTCGTGCACACTGGACTTTTTACAGCGGCTGTTTTTGGCTTTTGATGTTTTTTTTCTACAGCCAGTAAACCCCCCAGCATGTTATCCTATGTGTCCATGCACACACACACTGTAATCATCGTTTTTTGGGAGGGACGTTTTTTGGCTGGAAAAAAAACCCAGAACTAGTGGGTTTCTAGAGGAGTTTTTTTTAGCTGTGAAAACGCTCTAATGCTGAAAAACGCAGCAAAACAGCATTTTTTGACTTATATTGACTAAAAAAAAATATTTTTTTGGTAAAAAAAAAACCAAGTGGTAGAACTTGTTCCGGCTCTTGACTCTGCTCAGCCTTGATTTGATGGGACTCCGGGACTTAAGCTGGCCGTACATGGGTTGAATGTCGAAAGAATTTTCTTTCAAAAATCTTTTCTGGGAATTTTTGTTCAAATTTTGCACCATTAGTGGGCCACAGAAACGGCCAAAGTTGGAGTGACCAATTTGAGTGATGGAGCATGTTGGAAATTTTTTGCAAAATTAATTTCTAATCAATCATGCAAGAAATGTAATTGAAAAAGAAGTGAGCATGAGCTCTGACCTGGAATGAAAAGAAGATTCTTGGCACGAAAATTCTTTTCTGTAGCAACATGTTGTGAAATTAAAGGCTTGGTTGGTCGAATTTCGAAATCAATGGTGGCATCATTGGATTACAAAACACACTAAATTTCTAAAGAAAATTAGTTCAAAATTCGACCCATGTATGGCCTGCGTTACATCAAATCCTGACAAACCCAAGAGGTAAGGAAACAGAAGGTAGGCATTTTAAAAATCTGAATCCCCAGCAAGTGGCTGGGGATTCAGATTTTACTGCCCCACCATCCCGGCTCCCTTCTATTGGCTGCCTGAGCTGCCCCTATGCTGGCGTGGCTGTGAACTCTCACTGTAGAAAGGGGGCCCCCATCAGTCTGTCCACAGAATGCCTCTAGAGATTCAGCGTTGGGAAGAAGAGGGTGAGAGGATGCTCTAGTCTCCCTGTGGCAATAGTGCAGATACTGTCGCTGCAGTTTGTGCTGCATTGCCCCAGGTGTCTCCACTGGTCTGACCTCTCAGTAGTCTGGTCAGTATGCAGATGTGTTCTGATCAGTTCCCTTGCCGCTAAGAGGGAGAACCTAGCAGGACAGTGTCAGAAAATGAACTCCACTGCTCCTCCTTGTCCCACTGTCTCTTGGGAGTTATAGTGCAAAGGGTTCATAAACTCCACAATATGGTTTACTTCCTGGACTTCAAATCCCATGATCCTCAGTGTTCTGCATAGAAATACATAGGCTTTTCTGGATATAGTTCTCCCTAGATTGGAGGGGATAATGTAACACAACATTCAGCATAACAGCAGAAAGCACCTGGCTACATTTAATTGAGAGTCTAGAGTGCTGGACTTATTTACACTCACCAGCCACATTATTAGGTACACCTTGATAGTACTGGGTTGGACCCCCCCTTTTGCCTTCAGAACTGCCTTCATTCTTCATGGCATAGATTTAACAAGGTGTTGGAAACGTTCCTCAGATATTGTGGTCCATTTTGACATGAGTTGCTGTTGCCTTTCTATCATTTCGAACCAGTCTTCCCATTCTCCTCTGACCTCAGCAAGACATTTTCATCCACACAACTGCCGCTCACTGGATAGTTTCTCTTTTTCAGACCATTCTCTGTAAATCCTAGAGATGGTTATGCATGAAAATCCCAGTAGATCAGCAGTTTTTGAAATACTCACACTAACCAACAACCATGCCACGTTCAAAGTCACTTAAATCCACTTTCCTCCCCATTCTGATGCAACTTCAGCAAGTCGTCTTCACCACGTCTAGATGCCTAAATGCAGTAAGTTGCTGCCATGTGATTGGCTGATTTGCAATTTATGTGACCAAGCAATTAAACAGGTGTACTTAATAAAGTGTCCAGCGAGTGTATATCAGGTCATAGGATCAGAATGTGGGTATAGGGGGTTTGGAAAGCTGGAGATGGGCTTTAAGCAAAGTAACCTAAAGAGACAAATCAGAATTATTTCTACTGAAGTCTGTGCAGTACAAGCTGGATTCTGATTGGTTGCCTTGTAACTGCACTTAAAATGAGCATGTGTTTGGCCCTGTTGGGCAAAGCAACAGGTTTACTTTAATGCTGGTCCTGTTTCTGCACATACTTACCTTACACATGGCTCAGGATCAAACACCAATACTGTCATCTGTGAGGAAGGGGAATGAGCCACATGCTTCCCTATACCTAGACGTAACTGGTATTTTCTTTGCTCCTGATAGCCCAAAAGAGCAGCAATGTAATAAAGGGAGGGGAAGGCCAAGAGCTGGAACTACCATAAAGTGAGCTTATTGCTTTGCATGGCCAAAACACACATTCAGTTTAAGAAATATTAGACCAGGGGTGCTCAACCTGTGGCCTTTGGAGCTCGCCGGTGTGGCTTTTGGCTTCAAACCAGGGAAGCTCATGCCTGGGGCCAGTAACCCCATTGATCGTGATTTGGGCTTGCCCACCTGACATCCCAGAGCATTACCCTAGGTTCACATCTGTGCTGGTGGTGCCACTGTGGATCCGCACGAAAATACGTGCAGCCGAACCACCCGCACAGAGAAATGCGGGCCCGCGGGCAGGTGCCATTAGTTCTAATGGCACGCCGTCTGCACTGGAAAATGCAACCATACGGAGAACAGAGGTTCCCATGCGGGCTGTGTTTTCCAAAGAAGTGCAGGGACTTCTTGCCCTGCTTGTCACAGGCATGGGAGTCCATTCAAATGAATGGGCTCTCGTGCCCATGCAAAATGCGGCCCGCATAGATGTGAACCAGGGGTTAGAGTTCATAGAGCTGGAGCCGGCAGTAGAGGAAGCAGGCAGCTGCGGAGGAGCAACATAAGCGAATGCTTCCTCTGTAGCTCCAGCTCCTGTCCCAGGTAGCGTGATATCAAGCACACTACGCCTGGGACCTTTCTAGGAGCTTGGAGAGTGATGCCAGCAGAAGCTTGGAGAGTGATGCCAGCAGCAAAAAAAAAAAAAAAGTCAGTGTATTATACAGCACATATACTGCGCTTTTGCAATGAGCAAATTAGCACCTATAAAAGGGTTAACAACTCTTAGGTTGATCCACTGGTGCAGAACACATGCGGGTTAGCTGCAGTGAGCCATAGACTATTATATCCTGCACCATATCCTGGTATTTTTTTTTTTTTTTTTTTTAAATGTTCGTTATGCTATTCAAATTAAAAAATGTGAAACTCTAAACCATTTCATGTCACTGTGGCCCGCGAGCGGTTATCAAATCACTGAAGAGTCCCTCACTTAATAAATAAATTCATAACTCTTTAAATCCTTTCCATCTGCTAAGATACCCTAGCAATTTCAACTCATCTCAATAAGTACGGTAAAATGGTGCCAGCAGTCAGGCTGCCCCTGCTGGAGCGTCAACTGGACAAGTAAGAAAATCATCATTCTGAAGGTTACATCATTCCTGACAATCTGTCAGGAATGGACTTGCCAATAATGGTGGGACTCACCTGCCTTGTGGGCTGCAGTACCAGGGCTGGCCAGCGGGTGCTCTCAGCAATCAGAGACTCACCCCTGCAATCAGCCAAACACCTGAAGCTGATTGCAGGGGTTGTATTTAAGGAATGGCCAGACTCACAGTCAGGGCCTTGGTGTGTGTTTTTCCATGGGCCCCTGTACCTTGTATCCTGTATTCCTGTTCCTGTCTGACTTGTTGCCGACCCTGCCTGATCCTGACCTCTGCTGACTTCTCCTGCTTGATCCCTGGCTTGTGACCCTGACCATTCTCTGCCCGACCCTCTGTACCACGCTGCCCGTGAGTTACTGAACCCAGCTTGTGACCCTGACCACTCTCCCGCCTGTTCCTGGTACTCCGTTTCCCCCATTTGCTACAGACCCGGCCTGCCTGACTACGCTTTGTATTGTATGTATTGTTATCGGTGGGTGGTTTGGTTTGCACTGTGTTTTATGTTTAGTTTTGCACTGCGTTTTATATTGTTAGTCTTAATAAATTATATTGTTTATACCATATCTGAAGCCTGCGTTTCCCTGTGTCAGTCCACACACCTCTGGTCATACCTGGAGCCCTGACACAATCATAGGGCTTTGTGTGCATCTTTTTATAGATATGTAATCGTTCTATTCACTGCACTACCTTCTGGCAACTATAAATTCACAAAGGACACTTTTTTTTTTTTTTTACTTTAGTAGATTGGAAAAGTTTGTCAAAAACATCAATTTTTCATAACTTATTCCGCCGTGAGCATGGTATATTTTGACGTAGGAAGTCAAGGGTCTCTTTCCAGCTGTGTTCTTGGGCTCTACAGTGTGGAAGAAGCTCTCCTCCCCATGTAAGTGGAAGTGGAAAGAATGGAGATTGAGACACAGGGCAAAAGGGGGAACCAGGGGGCTCTAGAAGGTGGCCAGCGCCTGGGTAACTCCGTAAATACACGTCTTTCTTGCCGTATTTGTGTGCTCTGGCTAAGGTTTCCTTGGCAAAAAATAAGCTGTCGTAATTCTGGTCATTTTCACCTACAATGAAGAGAATAGGACCTCGGGCCTTCTCTACTGGAAATACAGAATCCTGGTGTTCAGGCTTTCTTGGGTCTGCCATTACATGAGAGACGGTGAGGGTTCCTCTGTCTGTGAACATCAGTCTTTCCGTTTGATAGGGAATTCCAGGCATGATGAAATCACCGTAGCTGAGACTGTTGCCATTGACAGCATTGGTTCCATTGATACAGACAGTAGCAGCCACCTCGGGCAAATAGGTTCCCATTGCCAAGCCCATCTCGGCCCCTTTACATATAGCGATTACTCCAACTCCTTCTCCAGAAACCTAAAAAGGCAATAATGTAGGTACATGAAGAAATAGAAGACAATTAGAATATAACAGACACAGTTTAAAAGTTTAAGTACTAAATATATAATTTTTAAAAATGTAAGCAGCTACCACTTTGTAAACCTTGGTTGAAGCCTCAAACTTACCCGAGTCTGTAAAATGGCAAAAAAAAAAAAAAACACACAATAAATAACACACACGGTACCAAAAATTGTAACTAGGTAATGTTTACAGCTTATTATCAGTTTAGCGTCAACAGTGAATGACAGCCCTAGAATTATTGCTCTCACCCCAGTGTGCATGGTGATTCCATCACTTTTGTAAGCGTGTACACCCAACCATATATGCAGGTACTTGGGGGCTGTTAATTATGGTTTAGGCTGATAAGCCCCCATGTGATATCACATGGCACATGACAGGTTACCTTTAAAGTAGACATTGGGGTCCAATAGACCTCTATTGCCACTTCTGAAAACTTTTTAAGCTGATCAACTTCATACTTTGCTTGATCAACTTCTTTCCTCTTTCCCAGCTGGAGCAGCCAGGGTTTGACAGTTTTGAACCCGGAAGTGCTCCGTGTTGAGTGCACGCTAAAAAGGGGAGATCAGCAACAATAAAAGAAAAAACTAAAATTAAAGAAACATTTTCGGGCACGGTACACATTTTCACATAGTTGCATTGGTCCAGCTTGGACCAGTATCTTTGTATATACACCACACCTGGCTGATGCCCTTGGGAACTGGAAATCATTGAAGTCACCACTACTTCAGTAATCTTTACTTGCTTCTGGGTTCCCTGCTGAGCTGCCAGCATAATGTGAGCACAAGAGGATGGAAGCTGAACATGGGTGCCATTCAGAGAATACTTTGCATTCATTCAGAATATGCAAAGTATTCTCTGGTTGGAAGTGGTGCAGAGCTCCTCCCTGTCAAAACAAATTCAAAATATTTTCCCTGTCCCAAAAACCAGAAGTGTCTAGGAATTATGACATTTTCATTATACATCAAGTATGTGGGTCTCATCTTTAAAACATACTTTTGGGTGGTTACACAGAAATTGCGCGGCCTCCTCAAAGTATTTCAGATCCACATCTCCTAGAAAGCTTGGCAGATCTTCATAAGCAAAATAGGCCAAGGCAAGGGAAGCAAACCCATGGCTGGCCAGAAGGCCGCTTCTAAACTCCAGGAGACCTCCAACACCACCAAACATGTCAATGACTCCGGGGAAAGGGCCTTCTCCTGTAAAACAAGGGGACAAGTCTTAATACCTGCTGTTAGGCGTTCACTCCTCTTTTTGTACCTTTTGCCATTGTCATTAAAGTGGAACTGTACTGTATTTGAGCACCACAAACCAAAATTGCTATGTAGTTCATTTAATATTCAAAGCAAACTCCCCCATCCATAGTGGAGACGGTAGAGCAGGAGGATGCGGAAACAAATGGTAGCAATAACCGAGAACCTGTACCACCGAGGGAGGAAGCCCTGGCCCCATCTCCCCTTTCAGCCACACAGACTGCCCTCAGGGAGCTCACCCAGAACCTGGCCTCCATGAAGCAGATGTCCACTTTCAAACAAGAACTGGCACACCTCTCCAAAGGGGAGAATCCGCTGTGGGACCCGGACAAAGACCGGAAATCCTAGAGGCGTGACCACTTCAGGCACCTATCCAGGAACTGCGGCAGGCATGAAGCCAAACGTAACCACAGGCCACTGCAAAACTAGGAGCTCTCGAGGCTGAGGAACAGTCTCCGGGACTAGCAATCCAAGGTCCCACCAGACCAGGAGCCAAGGTCACTGCATTGGTCAATGGTCAAGAGGTCCTCTGTTTGATTGACATGGGGTGTCAAACATTGAAGTATAGGGGTATTTAATATGCTTAAAACAGGACAGACAAAAATATGATACAACTGAATAACCCATTAAAAAGATAAGAAAACCAAACTTTTGCTGCAATATTCACCTTCAGTCCAGAGATTTTACCAATTTTTAATGCAATCTGATGGCCAGCATCATTTAACCCACTTACATCTTAATCTCACCCTGTACCTGTCCCAGTCTGTTACTTGATAGTAAAAAGAAAAGCAGCATAGTGATGAGCTCATATGTCATTCCGCTCTCTCCTGTCAGCACACCTCTACCCAAGCTAGCGACCCCTATAATCTGTGTATTTCAATCGGAACTGTAAGGAACAGCGCCGGATGTTCTATGCTTTCTATACTATACAAGATGAACAAAAAGTAAAACGTTTTACAGAAAGCTGGAGTCTACACTCATGACACAAGTTTCATTAATGCCAATTTATTTTTACATTGCACTTGAACAAACATTGTTCAACTTTGCAGCAGCAATATGAGGTTGACCCATATGTTACAACACGAAAAGTAATAAATACAGTTGCAAGAAAAAGTATGTGAACCCCTTGGGATTACGTGGAGTTTTGCATGAATTGGGCATAAAATGTGCTCTGAACGTCATCTAAGTCACAACAATAGAAGAACACAGTCTGCTGAAAATAATACTACACAAACATTAGATGTTGCCGTGGTTTAATTGCACATAACATGTAAACATTCACAGTGCAGGGTGGAAAAAGTATGTGAGGCCCTAGCTTAATGACTTCTCCCAGAGCTAATTGGAGCCAGGAGTGAGCCAACCTTGACTCCAATCAGTGTGATGATATTGGATGTGTTGCTGACAGCTGTCCTGCCCTTAAAAAACACACACCTGCTTTTGGGTTTACTAGTTTCAAGAAGCACTGTCTGATGTGAACCATGCCTCGCAGAAAAGAGCTCTCAGAAGACCTACAATCAAGAATTGTTGACTTGCATGAAGCTGGAAAGGGTTACAAAAGTATCTCCAAAAGCCTTGATGTTCATGTGTCCACGGTAAGACAGACTGTCTACAAATGGAGAAAGTTTAGCACTGTTGCTACTCTCCCTAGGCGTGGTCGTCCTGTAAAAATGACTGCAAGAGCACAGCGCAGAATGCTGCATGAGGTAAAGAAGAATCCCAGAGTGTCAGCTAAAGACCTACACAAATCTCTGGCACATGCTAACATTTTTGTTGACACATCTACAATAAAGGAAAACATTAAACAAGAATGGAGTACATGGGAGGACACCACAGAGGAAGCCATTGCTGTCCAAAAAGAATATTGCAGCACGTTTAAAGTTTGCAAAAAGAGCACCTGGATGTTCCACAGCACTACTGGCAAAATATACTGTGGACAGATGAAACCAAGATTGAGTTGTTTGGGAAGAACATACAACACTATGTGTGGAGAAAAAAAAAAGGCACAGCACACCAACATCAAAACCTCATCCCCACTGTAAAACATGGCGGAGGGAGCATCATGGTTTGGGGCTGCTTTGCTGCCTCAGGGCCTGGACGGATTGTTGTCATTGATGGGAAAATGAATTCCAGAGTTTATCGAGACATTTTTCAGGAAACGTACGACCATCTGTCTGCCAACTGAAGCTCCGCAGAGGATGGGTGATGCAACAGGACAATGACCCAAAGCATACAAGTAATTCAACAAAACAATGGCTGCAACAGCACAGAATACACCTTCTGGAGTGGCCCAGTCAGAGTCCTGACCTCAACCCGATTGAAATGCTGTGGCATGACCTTAAGAGAGCGATTCACACCAGACATCCCAAGAATATTGCTACACTGAAACAGTTTGAGAAGAGGAGTGGTCCAAAATGACTCCAGATCGTTGTGCAGGTCTGATCTGCAACTACAGGAAACGTTTGGTTGAGGTTATTGCTGCCAAAAGGAGGGTCAACCAGTTATTAAGTCCAAAGGTTCACATACTTTTTCCTCCCTGCACTGTAAATGTTTACATGTTATGTGCAATTAAACCATGGCAACATCTAATGTTTGTGTAGTATTATGTTCAGCAGACTGTGTTCTTCTATTGTTGTGACTTAGATGACGTTCAGAGCACATTATATGCCCAATTCATGCAAAACTCCACGTAATCCCAAGGGGTTCACATATTTTTCTTGCAACTGTACTTGCATATGTTACACTTACACTCTACTTATCATGCATGTGTTTAACATGAGTCCTGAGGGTCCTTGGGTGCAACTTTCTCTACAACAAATACAAGGACTAAAAAAGGTTAACCAGGGGCCTAAACAGCCGATATAGAAGGGATTAAATTCAAAGTCGCCCAGCATTAATATGAGCTACCATGTGATTGCTGACTCACCCATAAAAAACATAATTAAAAGTTAATGGGTGTGGTCACAGAAACTCATACTCGATACATATGTACATAGGGAAAAGCGTTCCCCAAACAAAAATAGTTTCATGTGGGATCATGCAGCTTTATCAAAGGGCTTTTTATTAGAAAAAATGAAGAAAATGTGTATTGTACAAGTATACACGCTAAAGCTGAGCACACCACCACCATAACTTCACCAAACTAAAAAGACAATGTTGTCTCGTCACCTTAGCAGCTGCTCATACAAATTCCAAGAATTCTTGCCCCATATGTTCCCAAGTTGCACCTTTAGCCTTTCTCGCCCCCTTCCCCTAAGTGTGTACGTTGGAGGTTGTATGAGCAGCTGCTAAGATGACCAGACAACATTGTCTTTTTAGTTTGGTGAAGTTATGGTGGTGGTGTGCTCAGCTTCTGTGTGTATACTTGTGCAATGCGCATTTGCTTCATTTTTTCTAATAAAAGTCCTTTTATAATGCTGCATGGCAGCTTTCTCTCCAGCATGGAAAATGGTGAGCAGCAATTTTCACTTCAAATCTGGTGGGACTAGCAGTCAAAGGAAGAACTATGGTAGATCTCACACTGCATCTACACAGTTATGAAGCTGCAGAACAGGAGTGCCTAGGCACAAGTACTGCTATTTTTCAGGAACAATTCAAGCCAAAAAGGTAGATTTTTCAGGAGCAATTAACATTTCTAGATGTTCCCTATAACATTAAATTTTTTTAGTTCAGGGTCACTTTCAGTCTTCAAGCTGGCTGTTGTGTTAGGCATTACGAATGATCATGCATGGGCAAACCACCCACCAGAAGATCATTTGAGCAAGATTTGATTAACCATTTTTATATTCTCCACAATTATTTGCGCAAGTATTGGCCAAGTAGGTGTCTATACAGTAAACAGTAGGCCACTGTACAGACCTGAAGCAAGCTAAAGCAATTAGACAGCAAAATCCTACATTCCTAGATGATCTTAGAAACAGTTGAAAAGTCTTTGCTTACCTGGTGGGAGGAAGAGAGCTCCCCGGATTCGTCCTTCCCTGATCTGCACTCGCTCAACACGAGGACTGGCATACCATCTTTCTACAATTTTAGTGGCAATAGGAGGAACTTCTGGTAATGAACTCTCATTTCCATCCCATAGTAGAGCTCCAAGTGAACATAGAAAGGACTTCTCTTTAAGTCACGTTTTATCAACCTAAGAAATGGAGTAACTGGCTTTAGAGCCCAGAAGAGTCCCATTGGATGAACTCCATGGAAGTCTCCACCAGTGGCTGGTGTATGCTCTAGATCCACCTTTCCAGCATCATCAGCTTTATAGAAGGCTCGAGAGTGAAAGATTTCCCCCTTCTCATCTTCTACCCATGCTCTCAGTGTGATTAGCTCATGTGGTGGGAAGCCCCATGCTTGGATCTTCACTGGCTCATCTGCAAGTGCCACCTCAGGTGTTACTGTGAGGCCAATCATAGCTGAAGGTCTGTAAAAGAATAAAACTTTATAAAAAGGTGGTCTTTGCTAGTGAAGAAGGTTCAGAGATTACTGAATACACAATGAAGTACAATGATGGTTTGCAATTTCTGAAGTAACTACTTCCTCAAGCACCTAAGAAGAAGATGAATATTACTGAAGCAAGTTGGTTAACAATTGTTTAGAAAGCAGGTTGGCGGTAAAGTCTGGACCAACAGTACTGGGTAAAATGAAAAATATCAGTTGTCTCTCAACGGTATCCTTGTGTGGAGAAACAGCACCTTGAAGGATCATGCTATGCTGTGTAGTGACAGAGCTACTTGCTGACTTGGGGGCTGTCCCCATTAGGGCAATTACTCCTTACTTTTCTAACAAACCCACTAAAAATAAAATAATCCTACAGAGGTTTAGGGATCCAAAACTACCAATCAAAACATAACATTTTGTGTATCAATAAAGTGATGTTAAGTCAATTTAAAATTATAAAGCACATGTAGGCAGGTCAATAAAAAAGGGTGCTGTTTGTAAGCAAGTGTTAGCCGCCCAAGTTAGGGAAGGTTTAAGTTTTGGACCGGTTGGTTTCCTGGGCTCTGTCCTCCTCCCTGGTTTGATTATAAAAAGGGGAAGGCACCGGGAAAGACCACATGGGAAGTAAGAAGGTCCAGAACACAGCAAAGGATGTAACCTGGAGCAACGTTCACCCTCCACCCTTAATGGACTTCAGTTTTGGAGATATGCCAGGGCAGCAATGGAATAGTCAGTTAGGCCGTCAGTTATTTGTACTTTATTCTGTAATGCTGCAGAAATATTCAGTAATGCTATGGAAATATTTTGAATCTTGGTCTGAAGTTACTCATAGGGGTTGTAGAGAGTCAACCTGGGGCAGGTTTAGGAGGAGGTCAATTGTAGAGGGCAGGTACTTACCCTTCAGGCCCATTTTTTAAGCAGCTGGTCAGAGAGGCTGTGGACAGGAGTTTTGCCGTCTGCGGTGAGGAGACCCAGATGCTGTCTGGAAGTCTCCATAATCTGACTGACGTGCAGGGTGGGCTCCCCTTAACCGAGGCCTTGAAATACTATGTGTGCTCTGACTGGCAAAGGTACATATTCGCCAGCACACCATGGATCTCCAAATATGGTCCACAGAGGTTTTTATTGCAAAGAAAAAGAAAATCACATCACAGAAGAAAGTGCAACGTTTCTGAGCCGCGCAGGACCCCTTCATCATGTTACCAGGAATAATACAATAATGGTGCAGTGCTAAAAATATTAAGACCATAAAATCTGATAAAAGGGTAATGAATAACAGTTCAAAGGTGACTTTCAGTGCTCCTAAAGTGCCTGTTTTCCTGGTGTGTCGGTGCTTGTGCAATAATTGCGCACTCAGACGCTCAATGTAAATGCGCCCATAAACATAAATCCAGATGTCATCAGGGTAAGCCAGGTACTGGGGTAACTTCCCTCTGAAGGGTGGAATGGTACATCAAATGGATCCTGGGGCTTTAAATGGTGATCCAAAAATCAGCCAGAGCTCCCCTTAAGGGATGAGTTACTGCTCTCAGGATGTGCAGGAGGCTCTCTCTCTGGATACTGGGATGAATCTTGTGCAGGGAGTCTGAAATTTAATACTCCTCCAGGGAGTTTAAGATAAAGATATGCCCATAGTGTAGTATAGTAAAGCAAATATTTATTGAGGGGTAAAGTTTAAAAACGATGCATCAAAGTAGTACAGTAAAAACTGGATTGTCAGGACTAACCGTCCACACTTAAAGATGGCCGCCGGAGCTCCACGATGCTCCGGCGGCATGACGTCACAACGTAATTCACTTCTCCTTACGCATTTTGTGCGCACACATGTCTTCAGAGGGGATTGCAATCTTCAGATATGATTTTTGAAATCCCCTCTGAAGACGTGCGTGTGCACGAAACGCGCAAGGAGGAGCCAATTACGCCGTGACGTCAGCATCGTGGAGCTCCGGCGGCCATCTTTAAGTGTGGATGGATGAAAGGAGGGTTGCATGAAAGAGTAATTGACATTCAAAGTGCAACAGCGCTGAAAGTTGAAAATTGGCCTGGGCAGGAAGGGGGTGAAAGTGTCCGGATTTGAAGTGGTTAAAGGTTAGACACAAACCTTGCTCTCACACAGGCGGTATAGGAACTAGGACTTTTTTTCACATGTGGTTTTTCTTTTTTGTCTCTGGGTTTTTTGTAGTTTTTGTTTAAGCACACCCCTTTATTGTAAGAATTCACAATGTATGGTTTGATTACATGTTTTTAATAGCGCAGATTTCTACATATAAACACTATGGTTTCAGAAATCTATTTAGTCTATCTTTTCATAGATATTAGATTTTTTATATATATTTTAGAAAAAAAAACCCCAAAAACCAAAAAAAAAAAAAAAAAACACAACCCTTGCATAGTTTACACACAGGGGCAGGAGCGCCGGTCGCTTATGATCTGCCCGCTGTCATTATGGCAAGCAGGAGACCCTGTCAAGATTCCAAAGTGGAAACTTTTTCCTGGAGGTGCCCAGGGCGGCTGCTGATGGGGATGCTATAGGAATTCGAGGTTTAAATCAGGGCGCTGTGACCGGTGATCTTTGACTTCTCCCATGTTGTTCAGGTAGACCTCCATCTCTTTATAAAAGGTAAGTTCACCTTTGGTAACATGGTACACGTTCCACCCATTTTTTACATCCGCTGCCCACTGACCTCCCCCCCCCCCCCCCCGTGACAGAAGAAGAACGGGGAGAAGTTCACTTTTTAAACACAGCGCGACCATAGGCCCCACCCCACGGCGTTCTGTGAATGAATGAACTACAAGTCCCGACAGCCTTTGCGGCTGTCAGCTTGTAGTTCTTATTGAACTACCACGGTACTGTTGTAGTTCGTTGAATCTTTCTGCCAGTATATCTGCTTGCCCATATATCCCATACGGGCAAGCAGATATACTGACAGGTCTGCAGGAGACCTGCATGGCACCAGCGATCTACTGATAACTGGTGCAAAGCTTTCCAGGCTCCTGAAACAAAAAATAATAAATGCACGTTTTTTTACCTGCAAAAAAAAAGATAAAAGTGCATTTATTATTTTTAGTCAAAAGGTAAACTTATCCTTTAGGGCCCTTTCACACCGAACGCAGTTGGCTGCATTTTGAACTGCAGTCCAACTGCAATAGACAGTCCGCAATACAGGCAGTCCTATGGGCATAGTTCACACCATGGCAATGCACTTCAGCGCAGTGCAGAAAAGTACAGCATGCGGCTTTATTCCACACCGCAAACATGCAAACGCATTGCAAAACATCACAGTGCATATAGAAGCCCAAGGAAAGAAGAAGGGAGTGGCCTCACAGGTCAAATGCAGTTAGAAAAGTGCACGTCAACTGTATGTAAATGCGTGTCAAATGCAGGTAAAACACATCAACTGCATGCATAGGTACAAGGAAAAAATGTGCAGTTACTGGTGTGAATGGGCCCTTGAGGTTTCCTACCCCTACTCTAATACAAATTTGGACGTTAAGGCTCCATGCACACTAGCATTTTTTTGAGCTCCTAGAACAGGTTTCTCAACCAGGGTTCCTCCAGAGGTTGCTCGGGGTTCCTTGAGCAATGATCAATATCTGCCTCTCAGGTAGGTTCCCACTGACACCATTGAGCTTTTTAGCTATCTGTAGGGGGTTGGGGGTAATTCTTCCCAATGACCACAAGTGTTAGGCGCCATGTACACGGGACACTTCTGAACGATGGAAACTGACTGCTGGAAAACGTAGGTTAAAAAACGTCTGTTTAGCCGCGTTTGCATAACACGCTTATGTGTAACCGCATGCCACCCAGCCACTGTACATATACGGCGGCAGGACGGCACTCATAAGCAAAACCACGTTTTAAGACGTGTGTTTTGTAAACAAATAGGGGGCGCGCGCGAGGCGCACCGCCGCCCTATTTGTCCCGCGGATCACCGCCGCAGATGTCAGTCGTTGGGTCACAGCCACTCGTTAGCGGCTATGTCCCGGCGATCGGCGGCAAACAGTGACAGACAGCACAGCTGAAGTAGCTGTGCTGTCTGTCACTTCCCTGTCAGCTCGAGGATGAGCTGATCGAGAAAGAACAGTTTCTCTCTCTCGATCAGCCTTGTCCCGCCCAGCACACACCCCCCCCCCCCTAGTAAAACACTCCCCTCACTCCTATAACCCTTCCCTGCAAAATAAAGTTAACCCCTTCCTCCCCATTGCCATTAGTACAGTGTCAGGTTTTTTTTTTGTTTGCACTGATCACTGTATTAGTGTTTTTGGGGATGTAAGTGACCCCAAGTCAGTACCCCCCAATGTCAGAATGTCCGCCGCAGTCCCGCCATAAGTCGCTGGTCGCCGCCATAATTCGCTGATTGCCGCCATTATTAGTATAAAAAAAAACCCTAAAAATCCCAGTATCTTTCCCGCCATTTGTAAACACTATAACTTTCACGTAAACCAATTAATTTACACGTATTGGGGTTTTTTTTAGCAAAGACATGGAGCAGAATACATTTTGGCAGAAATTTATGACTAAATTTGATTTTTGCATTTTTTTTTTTACTGGACATGTTTTATAGCAAAAAGTCCAAAATATTGTTTTTTTTTTTTTTTATAGCGCAAAAAATAAAAACCGCACAGGCAATCAAATACCACTGAAAGAAAGCTCAATTTGTGGGGAAAAAAAAGGATGTAAATTTCATTTATGTACCGTATTGCATGACCGCGCAATTGTCCGTTAAACTAGCGCAGCGCTGTATAGCAGAAAAATGGCGTAAATTGCAGTATTTATACCATAGTTTGTAGACGCTATAACTATCACACAAAGCAATCAATATACACTTATTGGGATTTTTTTTACCAAAAACATGGAGCAGAATACATTTTGGCCTAAATTTATAACCAACTTTGAGTTTTTTATATATTTTTTATAGCTGAAAGTAAAAAATATTGTTTTTCTTCAAAATTTTTGGCCTTTTTATGTTTAT